TGAAAAAGAAGAAAAAATCGAAGGAAAATATCTGAAAACTTATCTTGATTACAGCGTTTTGAGAAATAAATTATCAGGGGAAAATTGGCTTAGACTATATGAACAAACTGATGTAAATGAGGCAACCTGTTTTTTCATTGATAAGATCAAAGAATATATATCATTGAGTACCACTCATACACGAATGAAGAGAAATAATTACAAAAGAAATCCTTGGATAACGAATGGACTTGTCAAATCAATAAATAGAAAGAACCTCATGTACAAAAATATTCAGAACAATCCAGGAAACACAGAATTATTAAACAATTTTAGGAAATACAGAAATTCGCTTAGTGAACTAATCAAACAAACAAAAATAAAATTTTATCAAAAACAGATTAATGAAACTAAAAACTGTCCGAAGGACATGTGGCGTTTCGTGAAAAATCTGCAGAAAAATGAGACTGAGAAAAAAGTATTCAAAACAATTAAATCAGGTGATACCATATTAACCAATAAATTTGAAATTGCAGAAACTTTTAATAATTATTTCACGGACATTGGCGCGAATCTTGCTGCAAAAATTAACAAACCTAAACAAAAATTTCATAGTGAACCCGTACAAAATTCAATCTATTTGAGAGAAACCGACGGAGATGAGGTAAGAAAAGTAATAAAAGAACTCAAGAACAAAAAGGCGCCAGGTCTAGACAATATTGGTGCAGATACAATAAAGAATTGTGTTGAATTTCTTGTAGGGCCCATCACGTACATTGTTAATCAAGTTCTAACAACTGGTGTTTTCCCAAAACCATTGAAATTAGCTGTCATCAAACCATTATTCAAAGCTGGAGACAAACTGGCTGTATCGAACTATAGACCGATATCACTTCTTTCAAATATTAGTAAGATAATAGAAAAAATCATAAAAATCAGAATTACCGATTTTGTACAGAAATACAAATTGATTTCAGATCACCAGTATGGTTTTGTAGCACAAAGATCAACCCAAGATGCAATTTTAGATCTTACGGGTAAAGTCTACACGGCTTTAGATAGAAAAGAATCGGCGATTTGTTTATTTATAGACCTCGCAAAGGCATTCGATACCGTCAGCCACCCAGATTTGATAGAAACTTTAGAAACCATTGGATTCCGTGGAATAGCATCAGATCTAATGAAGAGCTACTTAACTGACCGAGAACAATGTGTTAAGATTGAAGATACCATCAGCAATTCAAAAAAAGTACGTTATGGAGTTCCTCAGGGAACAGTTTTAGGGCCAATCCTTTTTATAATTTATGTTAATTCTTTATTCAATCTACCAATTCCGGGTGAGATCACTAGCTTTGCTGACGACACAGCCATATTTTTCAAGGATAAAAATTGGATTGATCTGAAACAAAAAATTAATGATTCCATACCCGTTATCTTGGATTTCTTCAACAGTAAATTGTTAACTATCAATTTGAAAAAGACAGTGTTCTTACCATTTACGAGCTATGAAACAAATTTACCAAATTTTACAACAATCAGCACCATTTATAATAGCCAACTCATTGAAATATCTAGCACAAAAACAGTCAAATATCTGGGACTCACTTTGGACAGCCATATGAAATGGGACAAGCATATTAGTAACGTAACACAAAAACTTCGCTACTACTTGTCGAAATTCAGATATTTCAAAAACTTTTTTGACATAATTCATTTAAAAATAATGTACTATGCACTCATACAGACCCATCTTCTTTATGGCATTGTGGCCTGGGGAGGCGTGACTAACACACATTTAAAAAAACTTGAAATTATGCAAAAATGGATACTTAAAATAATATTCAAGAAACCATACACCTACCCAAGCGACATGCTTTATGAAGAATCTGGGTTATTAGATATTCGTCAAATATTTCTTTTTACCATCATAATACACAAGAGGAAAAACTTGATTACCAGTCAGCATATCCAACATAATCATAATACTAGGTCCAAAGAGAACACATTAGTGGTACCTAATATGTCAAAAACTATTGGACAGAGGAGTTACATTTATTTAGCCCCTAAAACATATAATATAATTCCCCCCCAACTGAAATTATTGAATTCAATGAAACTTTTCAAAACCTAAGTAAAAAAATGGATAATGAGTATGCCTAGAAGTGAAACACAACGCATAATCGATCTTAAAAATAATTAAGTTTGTTGTTGATATTCTGATACCGTTTCATGGTTACCTGTTAGGTCTGATTTAGATTTAATGTAGTTTGTAGTAAGTTATTAAATAAAATATAGAAATTCGTCATATAATAATTATTGAATGAGTGTGACTGAGTGAATAAATTCTCATCAATATGTGATAGCTAAAGATCTTGCATAACAGTAACGACACACAAGAGTGATTGTAAATTTATTGTGAGCGATCCACGCGCGGGTTTTCCCTTGTGGACTTCTTGTTTATTTACATTTATTCTAAAGTGTTTTTTGATCATACTAGAATTCAATTAATGTAATTCACACTGTACTCATATGTATGTATATTTCGTATATTTCGGTAAATAAACATTATTATTATTATTATAAATAGTCAGCAGCTGTTGTTAGTAACCCCAGAATGAGGTTTTTTAACCCCAATATGAAATTTTAATTGACTGAATAGACAACTCTATGATAATTCTGTCACAAATAGTATTTTTATTGATGACAAATAATTGGCGAAAAATAGAAAAGTCATTTGTAGGAAATAAGGATACGTTGTTATTGTTTACAAAATTCCAAATATTTTTAATTATCGGTACTGAAAAAATACCAACTAGACGTTTTGATTAACCAGTTTTTCTCAGTGTGATAATACATAAAGCACATCTACATAACTCAAACGCCACTATGTCAAAAAATATTGAAGAATATCAACAAATTTCATTTTGCAACTGAGGATCTGAATACATTTTTTTATTCAAATGGCATATTTCAGCACACCGTTCTCCAGTTTCTGGAGAAGATCCATGGAGCAATTATTCGAATAATAATATTCTTTCCGTTCACTATTGAGAATGTTCAAAATGACGGAGTCTTTATTGTAGTGGAACATGACGTGATCTAGAATAAAACTGATTATGTTTCGAATCTCATAAGATCTGAAACAGCGTTTTATTCACTACTTTGAATCCAATGTTGATATGTTCAAACTCATGACCTCATTCATTTGAAGTGGTCTTGCCCTGGAATGGAATCCTAATCTCACACCATAATAATCTTAATCTCACTCTTGATGTACTCATGAAAGAGTTAAAATTGAGTTTTCAAATTCAATGTAGCATTATATTAAATGTGAAGTCTTAGGATGAAATAGTTTTCATGGGTTTTGAAGAATACATCAAGGGTTACCCATAAGAAGTGCATTGGAACTATATATATACTTCTCAAAACGTATTGTTCCAAAACCAACTTGCAATTCAATTCTTAGTGATAGCAAATTAGTTTGACGATAGCCATTGTTGAGAGTAACATTAAACCAGTTTCAGATCAATAGGACACATTAAGAGCGATATATAGAATTTTTATTTTGATTTGAAGAATGCACTGAATACTTTTTTGGGAATAATTAATCCTTCAAGATTCTCAGTTCATCTTGAGGTTTCTTCAACCCTGCAGTAGTCGCGCATTTCGCAATAACACTAGTAGTCGCGCAAAGTCTGACAGACTCCTCTTGAAATGGGCGCATATTTCGAACTCAACTTCATCCTGAGTAAGAGGTTATAGGAAACAGACAGACCTGAAGGGAATATTATTTCTCGAACGATAACGGCTCAATTTTGCAATCAAATACTCACTCTTTGACATACATGCATTGAAACACCGTAGAAAGGTCGGCGACATTCCACTTTTCTATCGATACTTCCACGGGCAATGTTCTTCAGAAATCTCTGCTATCATCCCTTCACTAGCAAGACTGGTCAGACGAACTACTAGACAAGCCCAGTCAGCACATCCTTTCCTTATCAACCTCGAAAGATGTCGAAAAGCACTTTATCAAAACTGCTTCATCTATAGAACGACTAGGCTCTGGAATTCATTGCCTGAGGAAATATTCCCAACAACATATAATCTCCAGAAGTTCAAAAGCATGGCAATAAACGTGAAACAATATCACTTATACGTGTCTCACTGGTTGCAAGCATCAGTTGCATCTATTATGTTCTCAATTGCCATTCCTTTCGTATTATTTTGTAGGTTAGCAGGAATAACAGGTATGTTAATGTAATTTTAGGAGTTCGTAGAGAAAGCATAGTATGTAATGCGTTTATGAATTCTTCTAGACACTCGTTTATTAAACACTCTCTCCACTCTGCTCCGCTCGTGCTCAAAATATTCGTTGATTAATGGACGTTTATAACACTTAGATAGATAGATAGATAGATAGATATTTTATTTTCCTCAAAGACAATTTACAATAATTGTATTAGGAATAGTCAAAATAAATCTTAACCCTAAATCCTATCCTAACTTAAATCTAAGTATTTTACACATATATATATATATATATATAAAGACACATAAACATATTAAGAGACGTACTTCAATTTGAAAAGTCAGATACACAAGAAAAACATGTTCTAACAAGATAATCTTTTAATTCTTTCTTGAACTGTTTGAGAGGTAGAGTTTTCATGTTGATTGGCAAAAAATTATAAAAGCAGCGAGGACCTGCATAGTTTAGCGATTTAAATAAAACTACCTGTTTTGCTAAAGGAACATAAATCAGATTTTTATTCTTCTGTCGAGTATTCACTTGTTACATAATATACTATTGTTGTGACGTGCGAATCTCCGTACAGACCCGAACTTAAAACAAAGGAAGAAACTCAAGCGTTTCACTTCAATATGAGGCTTACTCATGATGATTACGAGTATTTAGTGGAGAATTGAGGAATTGTAGAAGAATGAAAATGGTCATAACAGAGCAAAATAAAAAATTAAATCATAATCTCAATAAATTCGCATCTACCAATGCTATCAGCATGGTATGTGGTATGTAAAACTATATTTGAGCGCAGTTGCCAGGTAACGTACTTATTTGTTCGATAAAATCAAATATTCCACCTAGGACATCTTTCAAGATTCAACTTTGAGTAATGAACGTATTCCTGATATTTAGTCTCGATCATAGAGTCACATTCCACTTGGCATCCAGAAATAATTTGATTCATTTTTTTCGACTAAGTAGGAGATCGCGATTACGAATATCATCATATATAAAGTACCCAGAATTGAATTGCATTGCAGTTGAAAAATACAGAACTTCTTAATGATCAAACATATGAATGGATACAGCAGCATCACAGTCGCGAGCAAAATCCTTGAACGAATTGATAATAGATAGAGATGTTCGCAGCGAACTCTACTTTAGATTCCCAAGGAAAAGTGCCGCCAGACAATCCACCGGTTGGGAATCGAATGCCCGAAATCGTCTCCCGTTTACGCACTATCAGACGAATTTTGCTTGGTCTCAAAACGAATTAGGCTAACGGTCCTGATAGAATTCCACCCATTATCCCCAAAAAATGTGCACCAGAATTAACACCGATTCTCTGCAAGTTCTCCACCAACCAATCCCCAAAAAAAGAAACAAGAAAGGCGGAACTCAGTATGCCCGACATTGTAATGTCTGGCACCACCATCCCCACCAAGCTCACCATATCTATGCTCGGTATTTCCATCAGCAACACTCTTTCATGGGATAATCATGTCAGATCCATCGCAAAAGTTGCTTCGCAAAAACTCGGATTCTTGTTTCGTGCGAAAAGCTACTTTACACCTCAACAGCTTCTCATGATCTACAAAGCGCAGATACGGCCTGTTCTAGAATACTGTTCCCACATATGGGGTTCAGCACCAAAATATACGCTCTTAGATTCCATCCAGAGAAGAGCCATTTGCCTGGTGGGTGACGCGACACTCACTCACTCTTTGACATCATTGGAACACCGTAGAAAGGTCGGCGACCTTTCACTTTTCTACCGATACTTCCACGGGAAATGTTCTTCGGAAATCTCTGCTATCATCCCTTTACTAGCAATACCAGTCAGACGAACTTGACAAGCCCAGTCAGCACATCCTCTCGTTGTCAACCTCGAAAGATGTCGAACAGCACTTTATCAAAACTCCTTCATCCATAGAACGGCTAGGCTCTGGAATTCATTGCCTGAGGAAGTATTCCCAACAACATATAATCTCCAGAAGTTCAAAAAAATTCCAATACCTACCTCCTATCCCTATCCTCCCTAGAAACGCACGATGTTCTTTGAACATTATAGGGATACCCTTTCGTGCGCTCCGAGCGATAAAAAAAATTAGTGACCTATGCCAAAAATTTAGGGAAATGAACATTTCCATAAAGAACTGGATCGGAGGAAATCTCCAAACAACTCGATCAGTTGGAGCGTAATGGTAGTTTGATTTGTTGGTTGAAGTTGCATCAGCAATATTCTAAAGGAAGTTTTGCAGAACATTCAATAGTTCATTAGCCTTGACATATTCGATAATCAAGTTATAATACTGGAAATCACTGTGATTCTTGTTGTGCGAATTTTTTCAGAGATGAAGCAGGATATATTAGGAACTCCAAGAGCACAGATGAGATACAGGTTTAATTCTGATCCGAGTAGAGTTCTGCATATAGATGCTTCTAGTTTCGCGTCAATTGGTAGACTGATGAGAATAAGACACACTGACATTGTTTCTCATTCTATACTGTGTTCGTTCAGGAGGCAAAGTACTGGAATGTGTCAACCATAGGCGTACCTCTGATTGCTGCTTTGATTCGACCTGAAATGAATCCGGAACCATTTGTCGTTTCATCGATTGATTGATTGATTGATTGAGTAGGCGCCGCGTTGGAATTGTCGAAGTCCAGACAGCTAGACCGCTACTGTGGGTCCATTGTATTGCCTCGTGAGTGTGGCATCCTTCACAAGAGTCCCGCAGCTCTGCCGAAGGCGATAATGTCGGTAGCAGGGATGTTTAACGCTTCTTCCACTAGCAGAATAATGTGTCCAAAGCTCCGCCATCTGAGCTCTATCAGCGCAATATATACACATATGATGTGGATAGGGTTTCTTCGTTTTTGAGATATAAATGGCACGTTTGGTCGTCGAAAATACCCAGAATGCTTAGATGTCTGTTCAGGTGGCAGTGTCCAATTAGTAAACTAGTAACAACTCTTCATTGGGTTCTTTGCATATCCAGGAGATATTGGGTGAGACGTATCGAAGGCTTTGCAATGAGGAGCTTTGCCTGCCTCATGCCCCTAGATTCAATCCATACCCGACTTGACCTCTCTGTAAGAAATCTTTCAAGTTTGCGCAGTCCTGTGCAGAGATAAATGCTCACGATTGGCGCTGTCCCAGTGAGGTTCCGTTTTCAATCTGAAACCAACCGAGAAACCACTCTTGCTCGTAGAGCTTTGAGAGCCGCCTGACTGTCGGAAGAGATGTAGATCCGTTTGCCTCTGATATGGCGTCGAATGATTTTTTGTGTGCAGGCAAGGATCGCGAAAACCTCAGCCTGGAATACAGGCACAACATATTGCCCAAGGTGTTGAAACGCTTCGTAGTCTTGGTTCTGATTCCCAACACGAGACTCATCCATGAACCAGGTGAGTCCAATGTTTGGAATTAGGGTGTGTGGTTCGGTTGGAGTTAATCTGACAGAGGAGATGAATTCATGATGCGGCGTGATGTTGTCTTGCACCATGGTTAGAACTGACAGGAAAGGGTGTCTTCTGTCCAGATCTTGGCATGACCAGTGTTGCAGCGATGACCAGTCCACTGATCAGCGCAGTTGAGTATATACGCCGCTTTCATAACTTCGTGCTGGATCACTAAGTGCTATGGTGGTAGCCCCACGAGTGCCCCAAGGGCTGCCGTGGGTCCTTTTTTCGTTGCACCCGTAATGCCTATTCACTCGAGGCGTTGCATGTGCTCCAAAGACCGCTTAGTGTCCAGTAACCTGGTCTTTGACCACCACACAATTGACGGGTATTTGATAACAGGTCTTATCATGGTTGTGTAGATCCAAGGTTATTAGAAGAGATCTGTTGTCTCGTTCCATCCAACCAATCAGCGCCAGCGCGAGATAGCGTCATCCAGAGTGCCCATTTCAAATCGAGAACTTGGAGTCCTTGTTTGTTGTTTTTTATATGTCCGACTCTGATCACTGATTACGATGCGATTATGTATAGATATATATCTCATTGCTATTGATATTGATATTTCGTCAAATTCAACAGTTCTATATATAGGTACCAGAATATCCAAAAAATAATAGAAGCCTATTAGTCTATTTCTGTGAGTTCCAATTTTGTAACAATAACTCGTTTATAGGGGGATATTGAAGATTTGTGAAATATCACTAGACTTTTATCTTTCCTTCGTTAACATAACAGGTTAGGTATGAAAAAATGACGAAAACACTTAGTTATTTATGTTAATACATACGAGGTGTTTTTGAAATGAATGCACATATTCAGCAGATGAATATGGTATAGTCTAACTAATATTCCCAAAATATAAGATTCTACTAATTCTTCTAATCATTGAGAAATTTCATGTTGAAAATTGAACGGAAAATAGAAGAAAAAAGTTTGCTACTCAAGGACAATTTGAATAATTGAATTCCGCGTGTTTATATATTCCTCACGAAAATTTTTACGGTGACGTCATTATTTTCACAGTGTAAAACTCTGGGTGGAAAAAGGACTTTTCTTCACACTTTCGAAATTTTTTTATTGGTGTCATTCGATCTCCTTGTATACATGACTTTGATTGATTAATTGAGATAACATATATCAAAACGAAATTATGTGGCGAAGAATGGATATCGCACAGTATTAGTTTAGCTTGTATATGATAGTTACAATACATAGGTATGGTACAAAGATTCTCAATATAAACTGTATCTGCTAATACCAACACAATATCATACCTAGTTCATACAACACCTTTTGATGGCGCGAAGGCACAAATAGGTAGGTACCTACACCAATAGTTTTAACATTAACAACCCTAAAAAAAATTCCCCCAGCCTGGTTCACTATCTGAAATAAGTTTATTATGAACACAGATTAACGAAATGGCGCTATAAATGAATGAAATTTCAGTTTCTTCACTAAAAAATGAGATGGAATGGAGTAGAACAGTAAAACCTTCACAGGATCATAGTACAAGATTCTGTGTAAACATATATGTCTGGAACGCCTATCCCCTCTCTTGTCGCATACCGCGCAGCAACGAGAAAACCTCTCTCTTCTACTAACCTTGGTGTAGATCCAATGCAATACTTACGGTCGAAGGCCCCAGTGATGCTGAAGGCGCCTGCATTTGTCGTTCAGAGCGAAGGAGTAGAATAATATTGGTTGATTTGTCAGCAGTGTTCCAGAAACGCTGTGAAGCTTATATTTCCAGTTGCATGGAACTGAATTGGCGTTGGAAACGAATTGCTGTCAACATAAAAGCTAACAGTGGACAATGTAAACAGTAATATGTTTCAATATGACTGAAATTAACGAACAGGAATATTGGCTGCTACGAAATAGCATACTGAATGGAGGGAGATCTCGGAAATCAAGCTTGATGAAATCGATACAAATTGTTTTCAATGTCACGTGCATTCCTGATTCTTCAAAAATGAATTGAACTGAAATGAACTTTTTGAACAAACGTTTTGGTCGCTTTTTATCAAGATCCTAATTAACTTTCACAGAGTGTGTCATCTTCCACCAAGCAAATATCACTTTTCTGGATGAAATCTAAGTGAATCAGCGTATGTTCAGGTGCTGAACCCCATCTGTGGAAACAGTACTCTAAAACAGGCCGTATCTGTGCTTTGTGGATCATGAGAAGCTGTTGATGTGTTAAGTAGATTTTCGCACGAAATAAGAATCAGCATTTCGTGAAGCAGCTTTCGCGATGGATCTGACATGATTTCTTCATGAAATACAATTGATGATGGAAATACCGAGTATAAATATA